AACAGAAGTGAGATCTCTCTAGTTCTTGAACTAGCCTTCCCTAGCTTGAAGTCAAGTGAGGAACTCTTTCTCTTATATAGGCTATTTTGCCTTGAAATCCTATTTTATCCATCTTATTCTTTTGTGTAAGTAAAGACTAGCAGGGTATTCTCTTGCATCAATTCCTCTCTCACTCACGATGAAAGCTAAGAGCTTGCTCGAAGACAACCTTTACTTTCTAGTTATAATCTTTCCTATCCTTTAGGCGGGGATAGGTTCATAGGAGGACCTGGTTACATAGGAAGGAAAGGCTTAAACTAGAAGGGATAAGAAAGGGAATTTGCAACACACTCAGTAGAAGGCCGAGTTGAAACTCCCTCTATCCTCAGTTATTGCGTATAGGACAAGAAAGTTATTGAGGGCTCTTTATGCCAAATACTTTTACACTAAAGGGGATAAAACAAGAAATATCCTAAGCAATAAAGATCTTCCTATTAATACTAGCACTAGTGGGACTGGCTCATGGGGAAAAGGAATTACACTAGATCTTGGCAATGGCACTCCAACAAGCTCAGTAGGGAGAGAAAGAAGAGAAGGAGAAGAGGAAGTACGATGAAAATGGTATGAAATAGGTTGCTTGTAGCGATTGTGATTGCTTATTTGGTTGGGATTACCAGCATGACCAAAGAATAAGATAAAAAGAAGAGTTCCCGCCTACGGCTACATGCCCATTAATAGCTATACCTGGAGTCGAGCTAACTGCATAGGCAGAGGGTAACTTTCCTAAAAAGCCTAATAGCAATTAACCGCATTGGAAATGACAAATCACACTCTGAAAGGAGGTTCCCTCTCAATAGATGTCAGGAGGGAGCAAGGCGTGATTGCTCTGTCATCCTCCGACCGCCTCCCTTTCCACCTCTAAGTAGTGGTGTTGGTGTGTCTTGTTGCAATCATTCCGGTCAATCCCTTTCCTGAACCATAGGTAAGGGATGATAGGAGATGGCCCATATAGCAAAATAAACCAGCCCCTCATTTGAGAGAGTAAATAGAATAGTGTCGGGCTTACGACAGTCTGACTTTTGAACGACTAAGCAACTACTAAGCTCCCGCTCACCCCCAACCAATTAGGGTAAAGTGTTCATTCATACATTCAACAACACCGACATATTAGCCCATGACCATGTTTACTTCATCTTCAAGAGCAAGCATCCTGGCTCTCAGGGCCTCAAGCAACCCTGGATCCTTTCCTACTTCCTTAGTGATTCCAAGAAGATGCTTCAACCCTGTTAAGTTTTAGCTGGCTATCACGGTCCAATAAAGATTTCCAATTTCAATTTGGAATTGTTGAGCAGTAGGTTAAAGATAACCTCCTTTGAAGTACCCTGTATGGATCCAGGGGCTGCTTCTGTGCTGACTTTGCTAGCTTGCATGACGGGCTGTAAGACGCTCAATCAATTGGGCGCTATCCCACCCTTCTTCCTTGATATACACATTAATGCCCATTAGAGTTAAGGAATGATGGTTAAGAGTTCTTACTTTTGAGTTCCCACTCTGACTATTTAGAAGGCTATAATAATACCTTAATGAATTGAAGCGGATAAAGCTCAGCATTTCTCTAATTTGAATCGAAAGTTGCTTTTTACTCCTCCGCCTTTGAAGACTGGTTACATCCAATGTCTCCTACGAGGCTGTCTTAAAGTCATCTTTGTCTAGGTAGAGGTATAGCCCTTTTTGAATACATTTGACTTGGTGCTCACTTGTAGGAAGATTCCCCGCTCTAAAGTCAAGTATTTTTTGGAGCTCCTTCCAAAGAGGTTGGGATTAGACTTTCAATTGGATGTGTCCCGGTCAAATCGTTAACGATAGATCCCTGCAGACATACTACTTTCAATCAAACCTTCTCTCCTTTACCTTCTTGATTGATAGATAGTGAGGCCTAGGACTTGCTTCCTTAGATTTGTTGAATTTACTCTGTCTTCACGAATTGGATTTGAACAAATATCTCTGGGCGACTTTCCTTTTAATCGATCGTGAGGGGGGTTTCCACTTTATTACTCGGGTAGAGTGAAATGGGTACGCTTCCTTATAACCTTTCCTTTTGGTGATATATTTTGCCTTAGCACTTACGAAGTAGATGTCATTTATTGAGTTGAAGTGAAGTCTTTCCGTTCCCGATTCAATTACAGCTATTCTCGCTAAAGCCGGATCTGATCCCATTTGAGAGGCAAGGAGAAATCCTGATCTTCCAATTGCGTCAATACAATAAGATAGATGCCTGAATCGCTCTGTGGCTTTATACACCCTAAAAAAGAATGAATAAGAGAGGCGCCCAGATGGAAAAATTACGATAGAAATAAATCTTGGAAATGAAGGATGCGTTCGCGGAAACAATGAGATCATCAACACAAACTATAAGATAGACTTGAATGCCTGTCAATCGGTATTCTATATGATGTGATGTTGCTAGTTTCATCTGCTAGTAAGAGAAGCTGCAGTGAATGAATCCTTCTTAGCTAAGGAATGTTTGTTGGACACCCACCCATTGTCCAGTTCCGGCTAGCGCTCCTCGTTGCCTTTGTTTGCACGGTCTCATTACATAGTGGTCTGGCATGCAGTTAAACAAGTTGACCCTGGAAACCGCTTTCTTAAGTATGTTGTACTAGGGGACAATGTTGTAGGACGCTCGTGTATATGAAAGAATTTTGGGTAATTGGGATTTTTCTTTCCTATCAGAAATCTATGATTTCCCATTAAGGTTTAGCTGTGAATTCGCAAAGAGGTTCAAGGTTCGTAATTTGAGTTAGGATCTTTCACCTATCTAAATTCGGGCTCTTATGAAATCTCACTATCCCTATGGTACTATGGCTGTACAGCTACAGTACCCTATGAAGAGATTTTCCACTCTTTGTTTTGTAGAGTAGGGGGTTGGGTGTTACCGTGCTCTATATAGAATCGACCATGTTAGAAGTCTTAAGGTAGAGAGGTTGATTGAGCTTCATGTCTCCCAAGAGCATATTGTTTTGAGTGAGGGTAATGTTTGCTATCGCCGCTTCCTGTTTTGCTTTATTAGCAAAATGCTTGCTTCCCTTCACATCAAACATCGTTCTTTTCCCTTTTTCCCCTACCTTGGTGTTGACCCTAGGTTCGCTAGCTTCCTTTCCGGTCTCGTATATGGAGTAAGTTAACCCATTACACTAAAATACTCTTTATTGGTTGAGCTTTCTCAGTCTTGGTTTGAAAGCCTTGACAGTTCAGTTCACGTAGTTCGTAGGCATCGTTAAAGGAAAGAACTTGTATTAAAAGGATTCAGAAACTGTAAATCTGGCAATTCCTACCAGGGTGGTGGGTCAGAGCGGATTCCCTTGCTTTAGGGAAGGAATATCAGAATGGTTAGAGGGCATGTCTTTAAGCAGTTGGCTTCCACGTAGCTATAGCTGCAGAGGATAGTCTGTAAAAGCTACAACCGTCTCTTCTTATTATTCTCCAAAAACATACCTAGGTTTTGGCAATCACTCTACTGACAGAGAACCTAAGAGCTACCAATAAGCCTTTAGGCAGGAAGCGGAAATGGTAAATGTCGTCTTCCTTTACAATGACTTCTTCCTTTTCTCTTTATCATACGAAATTCTAGCTCACCCTCAGATTAGGGGATACCTTAAGTCAGCAGCTTCCTTTGAAGATAGGGCATTTACATAAACTCCGAAACCATACCTAGGGAGCTTACATCAGGAAACTCCCAAGCTTGCCGAGGAAGGAACAAAATAGAGAAAGACACTGTCTAACCGCTTTTTTATGCGCGCGTACCACTTTTGAGTATCTTTGACTGCTAGCTCCCTTAGATCATTGGCTACCAGAAAGACTAGAACTCAGGAACATCAATATGGTTAGGGATCATTAAGGTACCACCCTTAGCCTATTCCTTTCTACCTTTTGAACGAATCTAGAACCTCAATTAGCAGATTCATTAGAAAGCTATCAAAGAAGAGTCAATTCAATGCTCAAGTCAAAGGGGGGAGGGTCAATTTTTCTATTGATCGAGAAAGCTTGGGCGGCCCCCCAACCATTAGCACATTCTAAGATTCAGATGACTAATTGGTTGGGAATCATGAATTATCATGTCTTGACGATTAGTACAGAATCTTGCTCTACCCATTTTTATTCTTTCCCTTTATTAGTAAGTAGTCAGAGAGCTAGATGAAGATCGACGAGTTGTCTACTTTGTGATTTGCAAATAGGTTTACTGTCATCCCTGAACAATTTGATTGGAGTTTCAGAGGGAGAAATAATCCGCTCATGATGCGTGGAAAGTAGGGGAAGAGTCTGATTCAAAAGCGTCTGTGATAGATCACGTCGAACTGAAGCACTTAAGAAAGAAACTGATAACTTTTAGTTTATTTGATACTTATTCTAACACGGTTCATAAGGGCACAACACAGACATAACCCGAAAATGCCCTACCACTATGGCTCCCCCTTTTCTTTCATACGCTCGTCCTTCAGAAATACAGGGGAAAGATGACTTCTGTAGTGAAGGATCTAGACTTAGATGGGACCAAGCAGAAACAATTCTATATGAAGAAGATCGGTCCACTTACAAAAATACCTGAACGAGAAGGGATCAGTGCTGTCAACTATGCTTGTTATCATAATAGTTATACCATGGAAAGATTGGGGACCATCTTTCAAAAATGAACCCGGATGCATTTCTTGCGTGGCTGAACCCATAGATCTTGATGTATGCCTATCTTTTACTTGGACTAAAAAAATGCATTCTTCGAGATCCCCACGGAGTGGTATTCAAATTAAGACTACAATCATACAGATTCGATACATGCTTTAATATTGGACCAGTCCTTGAATAGTTCAAAATGATGTGGTGGCCAAGATATGGACCGCTTAAATAAAGGATGCCTTTCATAAATTTAGTCCATTATGGTTTTCTTTACCATTCCAGACTACTAAATTTAGTTTTAGCAGTTGCCATCTAACGAAATTGGCCCATTCGCCAACTTGACATGAAAAATGCCTTCCTCCATAGTCTTTGACTTTAAGAGGTATACATGCAACAACCTCCTGGATTTGTTGATCCTTCTAAGCCTACTCATCTTTGTCGCTTTCATAAGGCCATTGTTGGTCTTCATCAAGCACAATTGGCATGCTTTCAACGGTTCAGTACCTATCTTCTCCAAAGTGGCTTTCGTCAGAGTGTTGCGGATACATCCATCTATCTTTCTTCACCATTCCTCTACTGGTTGTATCGTCCTTTTGCTTTATATTGACGACATCATCTTAACTGGTGACAACAGATCTCTTGTCACTCAATTTATTCGCCGTCTCAGTAAATATTTTGCCATGAAGGACTTGGGTTATCTCAATGACTTCATTGGCATTGAAGCTCAACGTGACTCCTCTGGCCTTCTTCTGTCACAAACCAAATATGCTTTAGATTTATTCCGCCGGACCAACATGCTTGGTTGCAAACATTGTGTTACACAAATTGCTTTCGGTTCTAAACTTTCAGCTTTGGATGGTACACCTCCCTCTAATCCTCAGGCCTATCAGAGTACTATTGGTGCTCTCCAATATATCACTCTCACTCGACCAGACCTCCGCTATGCTGTTAATCATGCCTGCTAGTTTATGGCCAATCCCATCACTATTAATGATCAGTGTCTTAAACGCATTTTAAGGTATTTGATAGGCACTCTCCATTTTATTATGGTCTTAGATTTCCTCATCGCCCTATCTCAACACTTTTTTTTGTTACTTTTATACGAGGCTGGTTGTCCAACAATTCGTCGCTCAACCACTGGATTTTGCATTTACTTTGGTGACAAGCTAATTTCTTGGGGCTCTAAAAAGAAACCAACAGCTGCCCGCGCTAGTGCAGAAGCTGAATACAAAGCGTTAGCTATCACTGCTTCTGAAATTTGATGGCTCTCCTACTTGCTAAAGGATTTACATATGTCAATTCCTCACCCATTCCTTCTCTTTTGTGATAGCTCTTCATACTCTGCTTCCACCTTATTCCTTTTAAGGTTGCACCTTGTCGTAAGTTCTCGCCGTCTCCATTGCGTGCTTCTTCAGTATCTCCTCAGGAAGCAGTAAGAAGACGCGACAAACTAGAACATTAAGATGGCACCGTAACTAGCCTAGATTTTACTTTCTTTCAAATCAGAATGTTCTCCTGCTCAAAGAATGTGTTCCTACCACAATAGTAGTTAAAGAAAGGGTTAAAGGTGGGCTCGGGGAAGAAAGAAAATGAATTTTGAAATCCCGAAAAGGAGGAATAATCAATTTTTTGTCTTTTTGTATCCGTAGTGTAATAAGCCTTGGCATCAACATCATCATAACTATCTCCATCTGAAACATCAGAATCCTCGTCAGCAGACGAATCCGTAGAAAGAGCTGCCACTTAATAATTTGCCGAACCAACAAACTTTTACAAAAAAGTGCAAACTTGGGTGATCGTAGATCAGGGGAAGGTTTAGAATCCTATGGGAAAAGATAGGTAAGCAAAAGTAACTAAAGGCTACCAAGACTTTAGAGGCCACTCATAATTATACCACCTAGAACGAAATGCGTCGTCAATGAAGCCGATCAGTCAAGCCTGATCTTCGACCACAACCTTAACATTAATCTAGAAGCATTGATACACGAAACCCAGAATTATGAGCTTTGACAATAGGATCCAGACCCCTTCCGAGAAGCTAGAAAAGCATCTTATGGTAAAGTGGAAGCTAAAGGATATAGGGCTACCACCCTCTAAATAAAGATCTAGATACAGAGTCGAAGAAAAGGTAGGGTGTTTCGTTTTGGAAATAAACAACTCGGAAAGCTTGATCTGTGACGTCGCATAGCTCTTTAGGAAGGCAGTAAGTACAAGATTCCATAGAGAAGCGCCATCAAAAACAGAAGCCATCCAGTTACAGCAGAGTCAAAGTCAAATAAGAAGGGCCTTGAGCCCGGTACTCCTTCTTCAAGCTATCACGCTCATCCAAGCCTATTGCTTCTGTAATAGCAAAAAGAAAAGACTGACTGCTACTACTACTTTCACTACTACAGCTAGGGCCTCTTCCACTCAGATTCTTTCCTTTGCTTTAGGGAAGGTTGAAAGTGAAGTCGAACGAAGGAGAGTTAAGTTAATTAGTCATTCCTCGGCTACAAAGCATGCCACTATGCTTGATACATGCAATTGCTTTCCTTGGCACTATATTTAGTGACTTGTCTCCACTCTCCCTCGATCAAACTATCAATTGAATAAGAGAAGAAAGCTTAAGATTCACCATTTTCGAGCTCCCCCCTTTTTCGTCAATTCGTAGATAGAGAATCGGATTCTTATCCATGGCAAGTGGCATCGTATAATAATATAACCGTTGCTTTGAGGAGCTTTTCTCTAACCTCTTTCATGAAATTACATGTCCCGAAGTTGACTATCGAAATCCGTTGTGACTCTGGAGGTGATAAGGGGAGCTACGCTTTGTCATTTTCGATATGTTAAGTCTACTAGCTTGCTGGTAGGCGTCAGCGGTAGGTAACTTTATGTATGTGTTCCAGAGCATCATAGGCTTTCAAAAAAATCTAGTGGAATCCGTGAAACTTAAGTATAGAGGTGGGAATTGTCCCACTCACATGTGCGGCTGCAAAGATCTGATCCCCGCTAGAACTCGACCAATCCCAATAGTTGTTGCGACAAAACAACACTTTTCTTCCCCTCCAACCGTGAGCCTCGCCATGAAGTTGAGTGAACTTAATCGTAAGTCTCTTAGTGCAACTCAACTCTTCTCCGAATGGCTGAATGCCGGGTTTGAATTCTTTTCTTCTAGTTACTGCCCCGTGGGTTCCTTCACTTCAAACCAGACTTTTTGCGATTTGAAGATCTAAATTATATTCTTTGTGGCAGGTGGTATCATATATCATATATATATATATATAATAGAAAGGATTCATTTAGGAGCACTGTTTTCATCCAACTAGTTTTATTGTAAATAAGCGGATAAAGAATGTTACGTCCAATTATTCCCATGTTTTTCCTTGGTCAACAACCAAGAAACTACATATATCTAAAAAAAGTCTCTCTTTTTGTGTAGGAGGAGCAGAGTAGTCAAAGAATGAACCAAAACATCATGTTTAATGAACTTCTACAGGCCGTAGAACCCTTTTTAGAGGTCGTTCAAATCATGTCGAACGCGGGGCAAGAGGGGATACCGTAGGTTCCCGGGAATCCACACGTGGAAGGAACTTCGGTGGTCGAAGGCGAAGTCTCACAGCATGAGATTTGGGCAGCTTTGGGAAAAAAGAAGTGGAAAGATCTTATTTCGTCTAAGGAGTGGAGGTCTATAGAAAAATATTTTGACCTCTGTGAAAGCAAGATAAAGACCATTATAGAAGAAACTCTCTCTTTATATAAGCAAGGGAACCTTCCCCTTCAGATAGAAGAAGATGCCGATATTAGCAGAGGTATTGATGCCTACTTTGCCAATCTGAACCACTTCGAGTCTAATCAACAACGGTTACATCATATTAAGAGGGCCCATGCCTGTATAGGAAATCCCAATAGTAAAATTTGGCATGAGATCAAAGGTTTGATTAAGAGCTATAAGGTCTAAATATTCTTGATAATATTGAAGTAGTAAGAGTTTACGGTGGGTGGGAAAGTAGGAAGGCACCCCTGTGGTTAGACTAACTAGCCTCTAAGGTTAGCGAGGTTCCTGCTATGGTGAAGTGAAAGATCTTTCACTATAGTGGGAAGAATACAGGTGAGAGCGAGCGAAGCGAGAGCAAAGCAAGTTCTAGGGAGCAAAGAATCTGGTTGTCTTTCATCTTTGAAGAAGTCAAACGCAGCCTAGAAAGAGGCTACGACGTTGTCGGGGGTTGAGTGAGGGCCAATGGTTGTGTTGCGAATATTGAATTCCACGTGCTAGATATCCCTGATTCTTTGAATCTGTTACTGGGTAGGCCATGTAACAATGCCTTTGGGTGCTCTTCCTTCTTCGTTACAACAAAAGATCAAGATGCCAAGAGATGGGGGAATTCTTACTATCCATGGAGATGTTAATAGGGAGACAGCTTTCTTCGAGGTGAAGGATGACAATGCAGGATTTAATCTAACCGGGTTCCAGTTTGTTAATGCTATAGAAAGGGTTCCCCTTTCTTTTTATCCTATGCAAATCATTACGTGGCTCATATAGAGATGGGACATTTCCCTGGACTTGGCTTGGGGAAGAAAGAGCAAGGGGTCACCAAACTTTGTGAATCACAAGGCAACTTATAGGCTGGGTTATGTTCCAACTGAAGAAGACAAGGCAACCGAGGTAGATGGGAGAAAGAGAGAAGAGGGTTTGGCCCCATATCCCAAAACTCTCATTCAAAGGCGTAAATAGGTTTCTCATAATCAGCTCGAGGTGGATTAGTTATCAGGATATCCTGAGTAGTTTATCCCCATTCTTTGAGCCTTTCGGATATCCTCCTTTTCTTCAATCTAGTTTATTTAAGTAGTCTATTCCCCGAAAATGCCATTCCTTTTTCGTTGGGGGTCACAATCTTCCTTATTTGGTTACAAACCAATCCCCCCTTTCTGTTTGCAATTACCGCTGTAGAATAGTCATCCCTAAAAGAAGCAGTTTTCCAATTCAAATAGGTTGCTTTTAGAATAGGTTGTTCTCGAATAAGCTCTTTAAAAGATAACTGAATGCATTTAGTCCCTTGGGGAAGGGTCTGCGCCTAGGGGATCTTTTTAGCACTTTTGAGGAAGTGAAGACGAATAGTCGACTTTGTTTCCTGCTTGACTGCTTTCATCTCCTGATGTCAGAAAAGGTGTTATATATCATTCTTTTAGCTGTAAGGGAACCGTCAAGTTATAGTGGTTGAAGTAGAGCCAAGCAGCAATGGACTAAGCGAGTCAAATAATGCTGGTGCGAACCATGTTGGATGACGGGTAAGGGTGAGAAAAAAGTTCTGCTCTACTGCCCTGTGCTAAGCAAAGTGAGTTTGCTTCATTTCAGGCCATGTTATTCAGTCTCATGGAACTAAACTCTTAGATGCAGCATGCAACTGCCTCCATCTATCGGCACATCTGCCCTAGATGCACGCGTAGCCGCATTGTTCATCTTGAAAGGGATCCGCGAGGTGCTGTCATGTCAAGCCCAAGGTTCATTCTACTACTGTAAAATTTCTGCCATTTACACGTCTTGGTGGGGGGTCTTCTTGCAACGATTTTCGTTTCTTCAGGAATGGTGCCGATCAATTGGTGTATAGGCCATCTCGGTCTAGTTTAGAATTTACCTCTATTTTGAATCCCGCTTCCTTATTAGTTGGGAACCCCCTCCTCTATGAAGTAGAGAATGATCGATCGAAGACTGAGAAGATAGAAGAAGATATTTTAAGCATCAGTTGCGACATCGAATGAGACTTCCTGCATAAAGGTAGGGCTGGGTAGTAGCTTTACCCGTTGTCAGAATTGAATGTAGCCTTTTATTTAAAAAGGCAAGGCCCCTAGCGATAGAGGAAAGAAGAGAGGGAATGCAGGCTTCTTTCACTCACTTGAGTTTTGTTTTGGAGAGAGCATTATGGAGCAGCAAAAGGCATAAGGGGAGTTGGAATGGAATATCATATATAGTGTTGAATCCAATCTGAAG